CAAGTGAAGCTAAGTAGACATTTGTTGAGGATGCTTCTGGCTGGATCCTTGCACTGAAAAAGGGATTGGACACGGAGACCTCTAAGCTCCCCAGAGCAGGCAGGTTCTGAGATTGGACTGCTTATCACCCATCCTGGCTGGAAATTTTAAAATCGTAATCCAGCATATCTAGAAATTACCAGATTGGAGAAGCTATTTTATCCAATTTGAACCCTCATATGTTGGGGCAGGGAATGCTTCAAAAATGTAGGGTCTAAATAGCTTCCAACACTGGATTTATTTTCTATATTTTGTGTATTTTACCTGCAAATAACACATGTGAAAAAGGGGAAAATGTTTGGAAAGTTCAACAGATTCAGTGCTCCATTCTGAAATCTATGTTTCAATTATAAACTTTTTGGGGCAACAAGAGTTACATAAAACTGTAAATCTTTACATAAAACTATAAGGCCCACCAGTACCTCTAGAAAGGTAGAACTTCAAGCCACAATGAGAGACAAACAGCTCAAAAACATCAGGCAAACTGTATTCAATAACTTTGTTTTAAGGTTTCTAAGGCCACTTATTCCAGCACATTCGGGACAGAGATATTTTGAACCTAACGAGGCTTTATTTATTTCAATCTCATGGTTACTAATCACAGTGAAAAGGTCTCCTTAGCCTTTTTAAAGTACAGTGACTTACAAAGGACAGCTATCCTTTAGATTTCTTTTCTTGGCCTTGAATTTTCCTTTGTAAAGCAAAAGTATAAACGTTAATTATTTTTTATCCAACCTCTTTTAGACTTGCCTCTTTTTCAGGATTATCTTGGTATTTTTGTCCAAAGAAAATAGGTCCCTGTCCTATTGTTTCTTTTTATTTTTTCTTATGTGTATCCATGTATTTATAACTATGTTTTTACTTATACCTATTATCTTGTAAGCAATTGACAAACCAAACCAAACCAAACCAAACCAAACCAAACCAAATAAAATAAAATAACGTACAGAGGGAAACTATTGGGATTCTGTGACGAAATATTATATTTTGCGCCCAATTTTCCTCAACGCCTCTTACTTATTATTCACGTATATTTGATGGTCGCGATGTTTTTATCTTGCAGCAAGGCTACATACCTTGAAATTCAGTTCTCACAGCACAAAAAAAAAGTGCTCCACTTGGGCATAAACAGATGAGCGTTGGTCAAAGCCAGGTGTATCCTATTAAGGCATTAATCAGGAGGGGCTAGCATTACCGGCTTTTTGCGTCCCATTTAAGGCTGGCGAATAAAACGGGCGAACTCCCAGCGAAACATGGGGGGGGGAGGGATGGTTCTTGAGGGATAAGGGTACGCCCACCTCTCCCCAGGGGCCCTCGCAATAGCCGGAGTTTTGAGACGGCCGGTAACGCGCGGATCGCTTCGGCGCCATTGGCTATCTCTGCGCGCTGCGGTTTGGATAAAATGGGGGGAAGGCAAAGGAACTGGTGAGTATCGGGTGGCGACGGTGGGATTTGCTTTGGTCTGGCTCGCTGGGAGGGGAGCTGCTTTGGTCTGGGAGGAAAGCCCGAGGTTGGAAGAAGGGCAAAGTTTATGGGAGGCGGGGGGGGGGGGGTTGCCTGCAAGTTACCTAGCTAGGCACGAAGTGCTGTGAGGGAGACGTGGGAATAGGGTGGTCCAGAGGTCTCCAAACTTGGCAACTTTAAGACTTGTGGACTTCAACTCCCAGAATTCTGGGAGTTGAAGTCCACAAATCTTAAAGTTGCCAAGTTTGCTGGCTGGAGAATTCTGGGAGTTGAAGTCCACAAGTCTTAAAGTTGCCAAGTTTGGGGATCCCCGGTAGTCGGATAAGAGGGGAAGGGGGGGGGCTTCCGATTTTTCTTTCTGTTGAAGAGGTGCACCTGCAATTCTCAATTCCTCACGAGCGTATGAAGTCCAGCTAACTATCCTATTTTCGTACCTTGGAATGCTTGTTTAAAACCGCTGGAAGGTCCTCCCTCTTATCATTTCTTTGTTGGATTGAGTAAAGGCAGTTCCTTTCCTGTCTATAAGTAGGGATTTCTAAGTCGCCCTGCTTTGTAAAAGTGCGTTCCTGTGCAGTGGCCTCTCTTCCCCGATCGTTGCCTTGTAAAATGTATTGAAGCACCGGGTTTCCAAATGTCCACACTTTGAGCCCTGGTTCGTGTGGTGTTTGGAGAAGCCACCCTTATCTTTGAAAACAATTGCCCCAGCCAAAAGAAGAAGAAAAAAAGACAGGGATAATAAAAAAAGATGGATCAAACCTATATGCATGTGGAAAAAACGAGAATTCCTCTTTTTTAAAAATAAAATAAAATCTAGAAACATGATAGGGAAGCTCTTCCTGGCATGGATGTACAAAAGTCTTAGAACATTTTTTTTCTTTTTTAAAAGGTGCTGTATTTTAAAATGACAAACTTCTTCACAGACTGAGTGTAGTACACACAAAGCCACAGGATAAGATGAAGTAGAATGGGGAGACTTATTTTATTATCATAATAATCATTACATTAATGTACAGAAATTAATAAGGCTGAAGAAGAAAACACCCTGGAGATTGTTCCACAGAAGGATGGATGGATTGTATGCAACTATTCTCTCTGTGTATGGAGGTGTGGGAACTGGCACTTGACTCTCGTACAATGTATAAAATGTAAGGCCTTTTTAACATAAATTCACACCATTCTCCCCACTAGCTTTAATACTATTAAAGTTCTACCACTGTTAGGAATAACTGCTGAATCACCTAATGATCATTTGAAGCTTTTAGCTGGGCTAAGTAAAGATTGCTGCAGCAATTAAATGCTTACATGAAATTGAGGGCAACTGTGAAAAATCATCTTGACTTACATCTTAGTTGGACTAGTCACTAGAATCATGCCAATTCAAATTGCCAAGCTTATTTCTGGAAGTTTGGTAACTAGCCTTGGAAGGAATGTAATAAAAGGAATTAATAATGAAGATTCAGTAATAAGTAGTGCAGTCCTACAGTATTAAGGAGCATTTTTAGCTAACACTGTATCTGTTCTGCACAACAATGTAGTGGTTTAAGGTGAGAATGAGCATGATGAGTTTAGGATATCTTGTTTTCTCTCTCCAATGTTAAAAGGGTTGCATTTCCAGAATGCAATACTTATTCTGAATTGCTAAGCTAATGGATGTGCTTAAAAGTTGAAACAATTCAGCTTTTATCTCCTGCAGCTATTCAGAGAAAGGTAATGAATTGCAAACAGGAATGTATGAAAAATGGTGGCCTGTGATTCTTTCAATTCAGAATCAAATCTAGCACAGCATGGTTAAAAGCATTACAGTTGTCCTTTTCTTTTCTGGGACTTTAGATTATTTAATTTCTTCCAATTTCACATCGTTGTCAATTCAGGAAAAGTTCTGAGGCTTGACTATTACCAGTCTTCTCCCTGATGCAAAAAGAGTTCAGTTAAGACCTAATTGTATGCATTGGTATACAAAATAATGTTTGAGAAAGTAACAGTCCAACTGAATGTTAGGGAGGGAAAACTTTTAAAAGTACATTGTCAGTAGAACCAATTAATAATGATAAACCTAGATAAACCTATGTTTGATTTGGAATCCTTCACTAATGGATGAATTTAATTAGCTAAATAGTTTTTTCCAACTCTGCTTCTATATTTCACAGTTTGCCTCTATTTATATCAGTGCAGATACAATACACTACAATAGACATATTTGCCATATTTAGAATTTGTCTGGGCTTAGAAGTTGAAAGACTTGAACTAGTTAGTACTTGAATGGGAGATTAGCAGAAAATCCTAAAGCTGATAGCTAGGTTGGGAAGATGAAAAATTTACTCAAAACAGTAAGCAGCATCCTACCTTTTCAACCTTAGCAACTTAAAAATGTGTGGACTTCAACTCCCAGAATCCCCCAACCAGAAAGCAGCATTCTTGACTGGGGAATTCTGGGAGTTAAAGTCTACACATTTTTAAATTGTCGAAGTTGAGAAACACTGCTCTATAGCATTGTTAGAAAAACACTGCGTGGATTGGTTCATGAGATCATTGGCTGTTGAAGTAGATTTTTAGTTATGACTTTACAGGATTTTTAGTTATTTAGATTTTTAGTTATGACTTTACAGGACTACTAACTAAATCTATATAGCTTGTCAAAATGCCAACTAGTACTAGATCTGTTTGGATTTTTCAGTAGGGTGTTACTTGTTGCTACCTATAAGTTTACATGAACTGTGATTCTATTCACTAACACTGCATTTCACATTTGCCTCCTCCAATGGCTAAAAGTAATGTTTACATGTTCTCTGTTTCTATGGGATTGTGTGTATTATAGTTTTGTGAAATGGGTCATAAGGATTTATAGTGCAAATGTGCTGCATCTCAAACAGCAGTCAAAATTCTTTGGGAAAAACCATGAATTGGTACGATTCAGCCCTGTAAAGTATCAATGGAATTATGGGTAGATGAGGTGTTGGCTAAAAGGCTCTATACTCTAGTGATAAGGTTTTCTATGCAGAACTGCATTAGCCTGATGTTCTATTCTTGACCCACACAAAGAATATGACTACTCAACTTAAGAAAGTACCGAAAATGTGCAGCACAGCACACCATGCAAACCCCAACAGATAACTCTACAAAAGTGGTCTCATGGCTTGGTCATTATCTCACAAGTTAGTCCTCTTTCTAAAACATTGGAAAATAATTTCAAGACACAGATAACATTTGGGAAGGGAAAACAATTGGAACATATCATAAATTTTGCAATTAATATCAAGGAACTGTATACAGTACAGAATGATGGATCAGAAAGTTCTTAGCAAGTTAGAGATGACCATACTGTATAGGTTTTCTTAAAAATTGTAAACCACCCAGAGTCTTACAATTAGGTGAGATGTATGATGTAGAAATTTACTATTTACTATTCAATTGACTATGGAATCTTTATTATAATGCCATCCTTTGACAATATGGAATTGGAGTTTCTACTAATAAATCCATTTCTATTGTCTTCATAGGGATAACAGTGACATTGTGAAGATTGCAAACAAAAGCTGCCAAGATCCCATAATGGAGATACAACTAAACTGTGTACTTGAAAGTGATGACTGTAATTCCAGGGGAGATCAATCAAGTGAATTCAATAGCATTTCTGATTGGGTGGGTCATAAAGCCAATCCTGGGCTCAAAGTGAAGGAAGACAACCTGACACCTTTCTATCCAAACGTAAGTCCTGTTACATTTTCCTGTCATGCGGATTTCTCTGCAAAACTACTGTGTGGACAACAGGAAATATCTTCAAAAGGATTTCCCAAAACCTCAACTTATTGGCAACAGAAAAATCCATGTACACCTGGGGTATATGTTCCTGCTAGATTAATTTATAATCCAGCTTCTCAAGAGAAAGATGTGGAATATCAGTGTTTTGACATTTCTAAGGATCTTCATGGACAAGGAGAAGAAGAGGAAAATTTTATTATTCTTGTTGACTCAAATGTGGAGGAGAATATATCACCTCAGTTGGGAAAAACTTTGCCTTCTCATTATCAGAAATGTCATCAATCTTTCCAAGATCTCTCCAGGCTACAAGAACATAAGCTACAAGTGGCTAGGAATTCATATCCCTGCCCCCTTTGTGGCAAGGAGTTTTTTCGTGCAGCTAATTTGCGAATGCACAAATTGACCCATACTGAAGAAAGACCCCACAAGTGTCCAATATGTAACAAAGGTTTCATTCGCACCGCTGATGTTTGGAGACATCTGCACAGTTTTCACAAGGTAGAGCGCTCCAGTGTTGTTTTGGGAAATGCAAACATAAGGAATCAATGGTGCACAGTGAAGCAAAATCAGGATAATAAAGGGTATCCTAAACAATTGGAATCTGCTGCCAGCAATCTTGGAAACGAAAGTTCAAAATCATGTATCTGTCCAGTATGTCACAAAGTTTTCCGCAAACCTAACTTGCTTTCCAAACACAAAGTAATACATCGACAAGAAAAGCCATACAAATGCAAAGAATGTGGCATGGCCTTTGTCCAACTGGCTAGATTAAAAAGGCATAATCTGACACATACTGGAGAGCGTCCATTTTCCTGTGAAAGATGTAACAACACATTTACACGTTTAGGTTCATTACAGCGTCATCAACGTATCCATACTGGAGAAAAGCCCTATTCTTGTTTCTACTGTGGTGTGTCCTTTACAGACTCAGGAACTCTGAAGAGGCATGAACAGATTCATAAAGTCATCCAAATATAACGTGATGCCTCTGGTATTAGACTTTTATTTTACGCTGTATAAGCAATCCATTCACATTCCAACTGCACAAAGAATCCCACCTATGTATGCAAGTTGCATTCAATCTAGATTTTTTTTCTCCCTAACTATAAAACTTTGATGTGCCACTCAAAAGAGTAGTTGTGATCCTCCCTCCAAGAAGTGCCTTTTACTTTAATGAAATAGAAGAAAAAGATAGCTTTCAAACTGATTTTGATATCGCTGCAGACTGCAGCTGACAAAACTTTTCCCTACTTTAGAAAACCTAGCCAGTAATATAAGGAAGATCTATATTGTAAAGTGGTACATTATAGATCTGGGTTTGGGTTTTTGTTTTTTTGTTTAGTGTCCTGGTTTTCTACTTGTAATCAGAGCTGTTCTTACCAAATTAATGATAATTGTATCCTCCACCAGTAATCTGATGTAATATCTATTCTGTACCCCCCCCCCATACATATACTGTATACACACACACACTTTATGACATGGTTACACCATCATACCTAGCCCTTTATACCATCTTGGTCACCTTTTCATGATTGTCAACCAAATGTATTGGTCATTTGAGAGTGCCACACCTCAAGAGGCAGTGAGTGGGGAAACAGGTTTTGCTTGTGGCATCTGTTAACGTGAGAGAACATAAAGATAATCACTTGATGCTTCAGGCATTGGCATATGCCAATAGAATGATGAGCCTGAAGGCTTCAGAGGACAATGATCTTTAATGAGCAATTTTTGGTAAATTTAAATGAATGAAAAGTTTGTTTACTCTTTTCCTTACTCTCTTTAACTTGTTGAATGTTTGCATTGTTTTATAGCCAGGACCTGGGTTTTTTTTATACATTATCCGAACCACTTTTTAAACTAACATTTGCTTATAGAATTTGCAAATTTACATTGATGTTTCTTTAGTGATCTTGCTTGTCTTTGTAATATGACTTGAAATTGTGGAATCCTGGAGATTCTAACCCTAATGCTACTTCTGATGTGCATCTTATTCTCATCTTTGGTTCAGCTAAGGAATTACCTGGTGGAATGAAGTTAAAAGTGCCAGACTTATATAATAAATTGTCATTAAAACTGGATCTTTATTGTACCGTATATTTTTCTTATATTTCTATTCAGCCCAGGGAAAGATGAAGATGAAGTGAGATTCCAAGGACCTTGAATCTAGATCTCCACAATCCTAGACATTAATTGTTTAATGCAAAGAATAGTAGCATTTCACTTACATCCCATATTCCATGTATGGTAACTGCTGGAATGGAGATTGATGGGAATCATGCTTCAGAATGATGGAGCAGCCCCACAATATAGACTGGTAACTCAATATAGACTGCTAACTCAATATTTTACAAGCGTCTCCATCCATACAAATCTGGACGTATTCACTTCATATTTGAAATTTATTAAGTGATGGCATTCTGAACCCTTTCACCCAATTCCTAATCAACACACTGTTGAATTGGGAATAAGCTAAAATGAAATTTTTTAAAAAAATTGTTGATTACCAGAGAAGAGAAAGAGAAACAAGCAAACAGCCAATGGCAAACTTTTATGAACAATATTCCACCCAATGGAATATATTCCATCTTTCTACCCCCCAACTTGTGAGAATACCTTTGGAATGACCTCATCTCTTAGTGGTCCCATCTGTGGAAGGATTTGGTAGAAAACTTAATCCACTCCAATTCAGGATAGAAACAGCTTGGAGGATGGCAAATAGGAATACTGACTCTTCATATAAAATTCCATTCTCACTCCTAGGGATGGTTTGTATCTTCCTCAATCTAGGATCCTCCAGAAGAGGTCTGGGAGTTTGAGGGTTCTGCACAGCATCTTAGTTGTTCCTAACACTGCTCTTCTGGACAGAAAGCTCTGATGTTGCTCCTGGGATCCATTGGAGCCACCCTCCTTTCCCTACTTTGGATGTTCACTTCAACACTTGTGTAATAGATTCTGCCGATAGAGGCAATTAAGTGATAAATTCCTGTTGGTTTCATAGACACCCCACTACTCTTCTTAATAACATCATTAGGGGTTTTTCTTTTCTTACAGCCCTGGTATTTCCTAATGACCTTCCTTCAAAGTAACACCCAGTTTTGATAGTACTTAGCTTTTTTTCAGGTCAGAAGTTTGTTGTCATCAAAATACAGAACTTTAACTCTGCACCTGTATTTCCATAACAGCACTAATTAGGATGGTGGGCTTCCAATAGAACCTGTTTTTTTCACAAAATTATCCATTTGGGGGAATAGTGCAGGCAGTCCTCATTTAGTGACCACAATTGGGACTAGCAACTGAAGTCATTAAATGAAATATCAAGTCATGACTGCTTACAGCAAGGGTCTTCAAACTTGGCAAGTTTTTAAGATTTGTGGACTTCAACTCCCAGAATTCCTGACCTAACATGATTGGAGGAGGAATTCTGGGAGTTGAAGTCCACAAGTCTTGAAGCTGTCCAGTTTGAAGGCTCCTGGCTTACAGTTTTGCTTCAGCTTTCTTTAGCTTTACAAAGGATGCAACTCCAACCATTTCCAAAACTCTACTCAAGAGGGAGCCATGTAAAAGCAAATCTTGTAATCCTTTCCCCCTCTCCCACTTCAGCTGCCCTTTGGAACACTTATCCCCTAGTCAAACATGATATTTTTCTGATTCAAATCGGAATTCCGATTTTTGGGGGAATCGCCCGGGCAGTGCGAGCGGAGCCCGGGCGGGCAGGCGGGCGAGCGGCGGGCGGTGCGAGCAGCGGGCGGGCAGGCGGTGCGAGCGGTGGGCGGGTGGGTGGGCGGTGCAAGCGGCGGGCGGTGCAAGCGGCGGGCGGGCGATTTCTTGGCGCGCGGTGGGGGGTCTCTTTTGGCCGGCCCCGATTTTTTTTTCAGAGGGGAATATCATGCCTGCCTAGTGCTAGAATAATTAGCAAGAGAATTGATAATGTATTTACATTACCAGTTCCAGCCCTTTGTTTTACTTTACTTGCTAATTCTATTATATCAAACTAACAATATTACAACTCTATTAACAGCATCATGTATCCTCAAAATCAGCAGTAGTAGCAACAGTAACATTTTTAAAAAAATACCTGGAAAATTTCAAAACAGTTCAAAAAACTGACTATATGTCTGAAAAATGACTTCATTCCCCTTTGTTAGGAAAAAAAAAATAACAATTCAAATTCAACACATGAACAATCATTGCTGCAAATCAGGTGTTTAGGTAGTCTTTGAATTTACAGCCCTTTGTTAGTACCCATTCAAGGTTAAAGGTAAAGGTTCCCCTTGCACATATGTGCTAGTCGTTTCTGGCTCTAGGGGGCGGTGCTCATCTCCGTTACAAAGCTGAAGAGCTAGTACGTCTCCATGGTCATGTGGCCGGCATGACTAAATGCCGAAGGAACATGGAACACTGTTACCTTCCCACCAAAGTGGTCCCTATTTTTCTACTTGCATTTTTACATGCTTTCAAACTGCTAGGTTGGCAGAAGCTGGGACAAGTAACGGGAGCTCACTCCTTTACGCGGTGCTAGGGATTCGAATCGCCGACCTGCCGACTTTTCTGATCGACAAGCTGAGCGACTTAGCCACTGAGCCACCGTGTCCCAAATTCAAGGTTACATTCAAGGTTACATCACTGAAAAAAGTGGCTTGCAACCAGTCCTTGCCCTTATGACCATCACAGCATCCCCATAGTCACATGATCAAAATTCAGGCACTTAGCAACTGAAATGTATTTAGGATGGTTGTAGCTTCCCTAGGTCATGTGATCACAATGCATGACCTTCTCAACCAGCTTCTGACAAGCAAAGTCAATGGGAGAAGTCAGATATGCTTGACAATCACAATTCACTTAACTGGTTACCTGAAATGATTTGCAGATTAAACCACTGCAAAAAGGTCATAAAACTGGACATGACTCATTAGCAGCCACCTTGCTTAAAAATGGAAAATCATGTACCAATTGTAGTTGTAAGGACTACCTGTGTATATCTTCTTGTATTGTTTGATATGTCAGCCAATCCCTGTATCTGAAATATCCACAGCTCTTGATGTCTTCAACCTGGTTTGGATGTAGCAGAGAACTTTTGTATTTTTAATACATAGAAATGATCTAGAGTCATATTAAGAATTCTGTTGATTTCAGTCCAAAAGACAGAAATCAAATTCAAAATATATGAATGTATAGTATGTTTCAGTTCCTAAATCCATCAATGCATCATTATTGATCATTCCCTAAAGTATCCTGTACAAGGATGGCAATATTTTTCTAATATATCTCATTTTAAAATAATAAACTAATTCCATATTATTTAAATAAACTTCCACTGGTTTATTGGAACAAAACATTCCAGCTCATTATTTTAAGATTGCAAAATCTTATCAGTTTTGACAATTTTCTTCAGCTTCCTTTAAACAATGAGATAAATCAAGCACATATTGAAGTCAATTCCAGAACTAGACAGCAGATGGTGACTTTGTCCTACCAATGATCAGAAATACTAATGAATGAAAAGAAAGCAAGCCTGCTGATATAAGAATACAGTATGCATAGAAATCAGATGCAATTTAATAACTACATGATTCAAAAATTGCTCTTCACCTTGGGTAGAGGAAAGAGGCACACATTTTGACAGGAATCAAGGCCGTTACCTCACACCTGCAGTAAAAGGCAATCTGTTCTACACATGATTTTGAGATTTGTACACCAAGAGTGAAGCAAAGCTGAGGCAGCCAACGGGCCAGAGCCTAAAGCAGATAGCTTCTCTTGCCTTTCTTTTTCCCATTTTTTTCCCCCTAATGGTCGTCCTTTTCCCCTCACCTTTATCATCATCTGCCTGAGGGAAAAAAGGTTGCTCTATGCTGGACATTCAAAGAGAATTTTTGACATCAGTCTGAAGGCATGAGAAATTCATTTGAATTTTAATATTTGGAATAATTATTGGGAAAAAAAATCAGCTGTAGGCTGCCTGTGACCCAAAATTACAG